AATTTCAAATACATGTATTTTTAAATATATTGTTTGGATATAGTAAAATCCTATGTATTTAAAATTGAATTTTTCTTATTAAATTAAATATTTTTCTAATCATTATTTAAATTTAATAAAATCAAAGTTATCAAATTTAGTCTTCCAAAGTATTATTTAAATTATATTAAGACAAAAAAATTAGATAAAAAAAAAAAGGAACAATGACCTCCATTAATCAATATATCTTTATGTTCTTCATTTTCTGTTAATTTTTTCAATTATCATACAATATTCAATTTTTACAAAAATAAATGTATCATGAAAAAATTTCACTATAAAAAATTTAAAAAAAAATCTTAAATAAAGCAATATCATCAACAATAAAAAAATAAAAGATTGAATTTTTTCCATTGTGTTTCATGGCCCCCAGGTAAATGTTGTCTGTAGAGTTGAAGAATGAGCTTTTTATACAAACTTAATTAACTAAGGAGCTTCTAGTCATTTCCCAAAAAAAGTTGATCCCTTTTTTTCCTTTTCTTTTCCACCGTTTGTGCTGTCCAACTCGTCCTTCATCACCTTTACACAAATTTTAATTTCAAAAGCCCAAACCTAGGTTCTCCTGTCACCGCCACAATTTCCATCGCAACCGCAACGCCATTGCAACCACCAACTCAACACCCGCCTCCAAGATCCTTAGCTCCTCTCCCCCCTCACCACCTCCCCTATTCTTACCCTTCTCACTCCCTCCCCCTCAGACCTCCATCCCAATCCAAAAATCAACAAATTTCCACCAAACAAGATTAGTCTCCTCATTCTATTCTACCTAGTCACCTCTTTCGACAGAGGTTTTACACCCTCTATCAAAATGAAAAAAATGGGTTTAATTGAAGAGATCATATGCAACCCGACGGGTTCAACGGGTAGAAAAGGTCAAACGGGTGGAGTGGGCCAAATGCTAAAACGGGTTGAGGGGTGTATACTGTATCCAGCCTGTTTTCAAGCTCGGGTCTGATTGAACCGGTTCAACCAACCGGGCTGAGCCTTAAAACAATGCTTTATACCTTAGAACATTTTCTTTGTAAACATCTATATATAAGTCATTGTACATATAGTATTATTCAAAAAAGTAATAAACTTTTCTTCAAATATTTCTCCTTCTCTTTGATTTTTAACATGGTATCAGAGTTATGAGCTCCTAGTTCTTCTTTTATCATTGCTTGGTTACTGAGTTGAGTTTTTAGATCTATTCTGAATCTGAAACTTTGTCGTTGGGTTCTATAGGAGATTGGATTGTTTATTCTCAATTCTCACACCTTTCTGAGTATTGTGAGTTCTACTGGTTTTATGGCGAGTTTTGAAAGAACTTTGACTAATCTTGCTGTTGCAATGGTTGCCAAAAAGGTGATAGACCAACTTATTGTCAACCCTAAATTTCCAAAACAGATGATATTAAATCTTATTAATGCTCCTACTGCCTTATCTGCTGCTCCAAGTACTAAACCTTGGTATTTTGATTCTGGTTGTTGTAATTAAAAAGGTTTAACAACACTTCTATGGAATTTACTCACTCTCTCCATACTGAGAGTGAAGTAGCATTATCTATTTATATACAACTGCATTTACAAGGAAGGAAAGTAATTACACATAACAGTCAACAGATTTAAGGCAGTAATCTAGCCCCAATTTCTACTGCTAGAATTAGGGATCTGATTGGAATCTTTATTACTCCCCCTCAAGTTGAGTTGTGAGATAGAAATAACACCCAACTTGTTTTGTAGATACTGAAATTGATATCAAGTGAGGGGTTTTGTGAATATGTTAGCCAGTTGATTTTGGGAGCATACAAACCAAGTGACAAGAGAGCCTTGAGCGACCTTGTCTCGAACAAAGTGATATTCAATCTTAATATGTTTTGTTTGAGCATGAAATAATGGATTATATGACATATATAAGGCACTAATGTTATCACAACATAGAACTGAAGGTCGAGAGAGATAAATGCCAAGGTCACGCAATAGAAAAGAAAACCATGTAAGTTCAGCTGTGGTGGATGCAAGTGCTCTATATTCAGCTTCCGCACTCGAGCGGGCAACTGTGTTTTGTTTCTTTGCTCCCCATGATACCAAGTTAGAGCCAAGAAATACTGTAGAACCTATAATGGAACATCGTGTGATACTGCAACTTGCCCAATCGGCATTGGAGTAGCCATATAAGTCAAGACTAGAGTCTTTAAGCAAATGAAGGCCATAATCAATTGTTCCCTTCACATATCTCAATATTCTTTTGACTAATTGAAAGCTTCCAACAGTAGGAGAGTGCATGGATTGGCATGCAGTATTAACAGCATATGAAAGTTCTAGCCTTGTGATTGTTAGATACTGTAAAGCTCCAACCAAACTTCAAAAGAGTGAAGGATTGGAGAATGGCTCTGTGTGAGAAAGTGCCAAGGACTTAGCGACCATTGGTGTTGTTATGGCTTTGCAATCAATCATTCCTGCATGTTCAAGGAGCTCCTGGGTATATTTCTTTTGAGATAGGAATAATCCATGAAGGGTAGTGGAGACTTGAATTCCCAAAAAGTATGAGAGATTTCCCAAATTCTTCATTGAAAATTATGTACCTAACTTTGTAATAAAAGCATCAAGAAAAACAGAGCTGCTACTAGTGAGAATGATATCATCCACATATAGGAAAAGATAGATTGTACCTTGAGCATGATGAAGAATGAATAAAGATGAATCACAATGGCTGCATAGAAAACCAAGTTGAAGTAGGAAGTGGCTGAATCGTTCAAACCAGGCTCTAGGAGCTTGTTTAAGACCATAAAGTGCTCTGTTGAGTTAACACACATGATCTGGATGAGTTGGGTCTTTGAATCCAGGTGGCTGTTCAATATAGATCGGTTCCTTTAAGTAGCCATGTAAAAAGGCATTTTGGACATCTAATTGCTTGATGGTCCATCCTTTTGCAAGTGCAATAGTGAGCACAATACAAATTGTTTGGGGCTTGATAACCGGACTGAAGGTAATTGAATGTAAAAAGTTGGTTTTTCACTAATTGAAGGAATCTCCATGGGGGATCACGTTCTCTTCGGCTCCAAGGCCTCTAAAGCTACAAGGTTGTCCTCATATGGCAAGGAAGAACAAAATCCTTTATTGGCAATTTGGTTGTAAGAAGATATGCTAGTCAAGAGCTTGATCGTTGCAACATTATCCCCAGCAATGCGAAACTTTACAGTCGAACTCAAATCTGCCAAGGATGTATGGAAGGCCTTGGAGGTGCGCTTTGCAAACTCCTCTAAAGAAAGGGCTCGAGATCTCTTACGACAACTACAAGAGGTCAAAAGAGATGAACATCCTACACTTGATGCATATTTACAAGAGATAAATATGATTAGCAATGAGCTTGCTGTTATTAAAGAGCCACTTGATGATGGTGATAAAGTATATTGGTCTCTAAATGGTCTTGGTAATAAATATGATAGCTTTGTCACACCAATGCAGGTTCGATTTCCTCTTCCTTCATTTGAAGAGTTTACTAACTATTTGTTTAATTTTGAAAAGTGCCATAAGAACTTGCTTTCAAATGAGAAGCAAGTGTTTACTACACATCGTGGAAGAGGTTGATACAACAATCATCCTCTTAGAGGCAGAGGTCAATCAAGAGGATGAGGAGTCTCCTCATACAACAACAATCGAACCAACAACAAGAACTCAAATGCTCAACAACAAGTATCAGGCAAAACAAATTTGAATCAACGATCATCAATTATACGTCAGATTTGCAACAAGCCTGGACATAAAGCATTATGCTGCTATGAAAGATTTAATCATGCATATCAAGAGGAAGACATCCCCAAGGCACTCGCTGCATTCTCAATAATAGATTCACAAGATCCAAATTGGGTTCCTGATACTGGAGCCATGTCTCATCTCACCAATGATCCAGTAATCTAGCCACAATTTATACTGCTAGAATTAGGGATCTGATTGGAATCTCTATTATTAAGATCGACTAAATCCCATGTACGAGTTTTTTCAAGAGCTTGTAATTCATCTTGCAGAGCTTGCTGCCAAAGAGAGTTAAAAGAGGCCTCTTGGTAGGATTGAGGCTCATGTAAGAAGGTAATAACAGGAAAACAATGATAATCACGAAGATAGCTAAGAGGATTTCTTACCCGAGTACGATGACTTGAAGGTGGATTAAGGATCTCAATTTCAAGCCCAATATTAAC